TTTACCATGTCTGTAAAAATGCTTACTTGCCAAGAGTTAGAGCTACTGTAACAGCCAGTTAGGTTAGCTTAGCATAAAGACTGGAAAGAGCTAGAAAGTAACAAAATCCACCTTCCAACACCACTAAGGTTCACTAATAAACACACTTTTATCTTGTTTGTTTAATCCCTACAAAAACTGATGTGCAAAAACAAAAATTCAGGCCTTACGTTCTCGTCTGGATGCAGAGACTTCCTGGAGTCTGCTGGTTTTCTAACAACCTCATAGTGATTACAAGACATTAGTAAGTCACTGAATCTGGACAAGTAATGGTCCCGCACATAACAACCCATAAATCCACTAATTGGCATTTTACACTGTGGCTTTTGTAGAAAGAATGATGCAAAATGTTGCACTTTTCATTTATTAACTGCGGTTCCCTATCAACAAATGTCCCTGATCAAGGCACTTAATGACAGATTGCTCCATTGCTTCTTAATCATCATCATCATCATCAGATGTCTGTGGTGGCACTCTTAACATTGAGGACATCTCGATGTACTCACCCCCTGCTCGTCCAGCTTGAGTAGCTGCTCTGGGACCTTGGGGGAGTTGAGGGCCAGCCTCAGACACTGGATATTAAGCTCAGGGATGACGTATTCAAGCACTTCTTTCAGCGGCAGGCCGCGGGCCGTCCCGTGTCTCGCAGTGGATGGAATGGCATCCTCCAGGATGGCTCCACGGAGTGTGGTCAGCTGACAGAAAAGACAGATGGTGAAGTTTCATGCCGTTTGTCATGTTTCGTGGTTTTGGAGTCTCCTTGTACAATGTGTCATGGTTAGGTCTGTGTGTGCACGATTTCGATGTAGGTCAATATGTCTGTAAATCAGGGATTTTATTCATTTGGATGTCATTCCCCACACTTTTCTTGAGTCATTATATTTTATTTCAAAATGTTGGATATTAAAACTAGGCTTATGCACTAGCTACTGCATAAGTCAGTCATAATATCTCTTTATGTTATACCTTATTATTTAGAGCAGTGGCTCCATTACAGCTCCATTGGAAGGCATTAGGAACCCACGTTCTAAATAATTAAGACAGGCTAACTGAGCACTAGATGTTAAGTGGTATTTTACTATTAAGATCATTAATGTGCCAGTAAATGTTAACCCGAACCGCTTCAGAACACCCACTCTGTAACCTTGTGTTGTTGTTTGTAACATCACAGACACATTTACGCCTATAAATCCCATTTCCATCTGAACAGCCTGTGGACATGTCAACAGTTAATGTCTGTCCGACAGAGAGAGCTGCTTTCTGAAAAGCAGATTACTTAATAGACTCAGAAAGGAAGGGAGAGTGAGAGTGGGGTAGAGAGGCAGAGAGCGCCGAGGCTAAATGACAGGAGTACAGTACATGCAAATAGACGCTTCAGTGGTTGGGGAGTTAAAACATTTTCTGCGTGCTACTTGCAGGGCTACCATGACCCAGATACATTGTTTTATCGTGGGAGTGGTGCTTTAAACCAAGAATGGCACTGGATATCAGTGACATTTCCCCGCCTGACACATCTGTTACACCTGAATTATTCAGGAGGATGAGACCACCCAGCATCAATCAAGGAGAGGGTTCTGTACCACCGGGGACTGCAAGAGTGTGCATCTCAGTTTGCGGATTAATCATCTTCTGTGTACATGCGCGTGCATATGTGTGCACACGTGGGTGTGGGAGAGTGTGAGCGAGCCAGGGCTATCACACCAACTCTGATAGACTTGCATCAGTTTTCGCATGGCTGGCCAACTGAGTCACAACTGGCACAGAGTCACTGGACACATTAGGGTGCTAGGAGCAGATTTGGGAATGGAGAGCTGCGAGAAGCTTCCTCTTGTTTTCAGGGGTACTGAAGCATTCCTGCACTTCTGTACTGCTTGAATGAGCCCTGAACTGAGTCACCTTAACATGCCTTGCTGAATGCACTATATCAGAAATACCTTTTAAAAGCATGTTCTAGGTCTTAGTCAGTTCAATAAAAGAGTGACAGAAATCCTGCAGGTTCCTCCTACTATGCATCCATAATAGTTATACATTGATTTAAGACAACAAGCAGAGCTGAAAAAGGGCACATTGACATATTATAGTTACCTGACTGGTTCTGAAGGTGACACGATAGTTGAATTGCATTCCATCTTTCTCCTTTCCGTCATCCAGCCTCTCCCTGCGGACGCTGACTGCCACAGGTCCAAGATTGTCATCCACCCCAAAATAGTTTTGATGCTCTGGAGGTCGAGCAAGAAAGAGCAGAAAGAAACACACATTAAGCATCACATTGCCAAATTGAATAACTGAGATTGTTTGCTGCACAGAGTCTATCTATCTATCTATCATCAAATCACTGCTTTAGCAGAATATTAATTTATATTATTGAGTCCATATATATCTTAATAATCCACTGTGGACTGTTCGTGGGGAAGCTATAATACTGATTACGGAAAACAGTAGGGGTCCAGGGGAGATTTGAAATTGATTCACTTTGGATTAGAACCCAGCTTGTAGTGGCAGCACCGGGATTTAAAAAAGGAAATAAATACATATAAACACAACGCGGGAAAGTTTGACCCACTGCGACCCATCACTGACCCAGATCCCTTCACACATCTCATCATATAAATACATGTAGAACAAAGAATTATTACAGACTGTTCAGCATCATCCAGATACTTTATACTGGGATTCTGATTGGAAAATAAAAATAATCTTTTGCATCCTTCATTCCGGAACAATGAATTTCTGATCCAACCACACGCATTGCTTTGTAATGCTGACCCTCAGAAGTACCCGAGAACATAAGGTATTTTTTCTGGGTTTTTTGTATCTGGACTCACATCACAACAGATAGACTGCTCCTGCCACTGAAACCAACTTAGGCTTTACAAACCATGCTAGAAGGAAGGCATACGTCGTTCAAACTTATTTTTGCTTTTTGTTTTCAGGGCATATTTAATTTGATATTTGACTGTGCAGGGTAGAGGAATATAAAGGGAGGGATACATTTAAACCCAGGACAAAGAGGTTACACGGTATGTGCCTTAAACCACTAGGCCAGGATGTCCCCTCTGGCCAGGCTCAGAGTATTTGTGTCATTCATGACAGCTTTTGGCATTTTTGGGATTGACAATGCAATTTATGGAGCTGTTGGTCAAAACCTAAAAAAAAGAGATTTGTATAATTTAGAAATTAGGATTTTAGTAACAGGACATGTGGATGTTGATGGTCAGTACATGAATCAGTTAAAAACTTAATTCAAGACAAAGTTACGTCAGTGTTACAGGAAATGTTTTTCCCTTGTGCAACACTTTGATCTATGAACCGCTATCTCAAATACTGGCGGTCAGATTTTTAGGATATTTCCTGTGGATATTCACAGCGCTCAGACAAAGTCTCCTAATGCTTTTGGTAACCCCCTCAACTCATTAGTGTACACAAACATGACAAACTCTAATGGGCAGATTCTCATTAGATTTTCTCATCAGGATAGATTTTTTTTCCCCATTTGTGGACACTCAGTGAGGTTTCCTTTATTTGTCATGATGTTAATTTGTGCAGTAAATAATGATAATCTAATGGGCAGATTGCCATGAAATTCACAGATCATAATAATGCTCCTAAGAGATTGAATAGAGGTTTGTTTTTTCCAGCAGTTTCATATTGTGGCGTATAATTAAAAATTTAATGGACACTAGGGGAGTCACTAGCAAGGCTTTAGACTTTCAGTCTTGTTATTTTTAAGCATTATAAGAACAAGGACTTATTTTTGTGTTAAAATAAGAATAATTCAATTTGAAATGCATTATAACTTCTTGAATAAAACACTCAAAATGCTGTGTACTTAAAGATATAGTATCATTGTAAAACTAAACTTACTATTAGTCTAATAAAGGTTGGAGTATGTGTGTTATGCATGAATATGTGTGTGTGTCTCTCTGTTTAGGACATGGACAGGAGCAGAGCTTTGCACACAATAAGCGGTGCCTTGAGCAAACACTCCCTAATCCAGACTAAAGCCAGGGAGAAAGACCTGGATTCAGCAGACAACAAAAGAAAAACCTCAGCAGGGACTCAGCCCTGACATTCGCAAAGAGATTTCCCCTAGAAGTTTATACATTGCATCTATGCCATGTGGAGCATACCATGTGAATACACTGATACTTGTCACTGTGGCATTAACATTGGGGGCAAAGCACGTATCAGCATAAATAATTTATTAACTGTCTGTAGGCATTTCGGGGTTAACCGTCTGAGGAATGCTTGGCTTGTCAGGGACAGTGGACTGAGGGTAAATGCTCTGTGAGGCATAAGGTCAAATGGTGGTAAGGAGGCTTGCCTATGCATATGAGGCCACTAGGCATATGAGTACTGATGGCACAGTGAGGGAGACTGTTGACTGTAGAGGAAAGATTTTTGTTAACACATTTTTATAAGATGTCACTGGTACTCAACACTTGGTGTTGACGATTTGCCAAAGGTTGAAAATGGATGACTTTGACTGTCATGTCAAATACTGGCTCTTTTCCATCTTCCTGTCACTCCGCACTGCAGAAATGCCTTCAAAGTCTTTAAAAAGTCCCACACTTCAAGTTCCTACTTTTTACATTTGTGGCTCTAAAACTTTATTTCAGGTCACATATCTCCGTATAAAAGGCATGGTTTGCATAAGTGATTCTCAATGACTGGGCTGCGACCTGGTACCAGCGTTGCCTACTGGGCCAGAAAGATGTGATCTGACAAGAACCAATCATCCATCCACCCAAAAGAGACTGGAGAACACTGAGAAAAAATAGACACTCTCCATCTGTCACTGATATAGATAATTTCACGCTATGACAGATAAATTGTGAATATGCCCAACTTCTAATTGAGTGGTGAGTGTTATTTTACATGACATCTAATAAACTTCAGTTTCACACGTCTCTCCACGCTATCAATAATGTATATGCATGCTTCCTCCCTCTCGCTCGCCCACACCAGGCTTTCTGTCGCTCTCCTTCATCATGACAGATGTAAAGTTGCAAAAACAAAGAGCTAATAAAAAGAATCAGCCACTTTTGAAGAAGTATGAAATTAAGTAACTTATTTTTAACTTTATTTTGTTAATTTGACAGAATAAAACTTGTTTGTTAAAGTCCCTCTCCACTCAAAAGTGTCACTTTTGTGTTTGAGCGTCAATGTATGTGTCTGTCTTTGTTTTCACATTCACCTGCTGAAGGGGAAAGTTTCTCTATGTGTAACATTTCAGATGCTCTATTGGCAGAAAAATAGTATAATATTCATAGGTATGTTTTCATTTGTGTACAATCACTAGATAACCAAAGATAACCCAAGTTTCGCAGCCACAGTAGTTTCTCCTACACGCTTGGAAGGCTGCGCTGTATTCAAATTTACCTCTAGATGCCACTAAATCCTTCACACTGGTCCTTAAAATGTCTGCAATGTACACAAGTGGGATGTGGAAACTTGAAGCCTCCATTGCACATATACTAATAGACAATGGACTTTTCAGTGTAGAAGACATCTTGGTTCATTTGCTAGAGTTGTTCCAATACTAACACAATTCCTCCAGTATCTGTAAGTATGCGTATCAGTTCTCGGCATCGACCAATTTGCAAAGTTTGGGTATCAGATGCACTATCACTTTTCATATTCATAGATTCTAGATTTTTGAAAGAAGAACAATGTGAAAACTCTATATCTGACGAATGTTATTCTAAGCAGATTATATTTTATATGTCTTCGAAGGATCTATTAAAGTAGACTAGACTCACTCTCACCCCCACCCACCATAGGTATGCAAAACCACTCTTTGCTAGTGTGCTAGTCCCCACATTGAAAAAAGTTGAGAACCCCTGGTTTACATCCACTGTATTGTACATCTCAATGTAACCATGACCTGTGTGTAACAAGGCTTGGCCCGTGGGTGTGGATGAAACATTGTGTCCATTAGGGCAGCCTGGGGAGAAACACTCCTGTTGCTACAGGAAGGAGGGCTTTAGGCAATCAATAAGATCAATGTTCAGCCCAGGTTGATAAAAGCTTGCCCTAAAGTGGTGACACACGGTCATGTTTGTGTGAATGTGTATGTGTGCGTGCAAGTATGTGCCTGTTTTTAAGTGTGTGTGTGTGTGTGTGTGTGTTTGTAGTGAAGCAGAGGTGACGACAGACTTGTCTCTCTGATAAAACACCTCATGAGAGAAGGGCAAAGGCTGCAGCCACATACTGTGAAATAGGCATCTTATAACATGAAAACGAAACTGACAGCAACACAGGGCATTTCAATTATACAATTATACATTGGCCTGTGTTGCCACAGAAAGTGGTTAAATAGATAAAACAACTACACCAGTTTTGGTATGTGTAGTAAGTGGGGCATATGTCATGGTAAATGAATATAAACTCAATGCTACATTCAAATGTACTGTAAATAGAGTAGATCTGTAATGATCTCATTAACCTTGACTGGAGACATGAAGCCTCAATAGAGCAATATTTTTTTTTGAGAAAAAAAGATACTCAGGGATCTCTGTGTGAAAGGTGAAGCAGCTGTTTTCTGGTGAGGCTTAAGAATGGGTAATTCAATCTGCTGAGAGCAGCGAACACAGACGCATAGACAGTGAGAAAAACAGATATGTATAACGCGGTGATGGGTAGGGGTCGGCATGGTATTTCCAGCGTCAGTCACATAGGTGTTTTAATGAGGGGACCTGGGACCTTGGCATAGTTTTGCTGACCCAAAAGTTTCATAGGAGGGGTCCTCACACCCCCCGTGGCCCTCGTGGAGAACAGCTGCAGCGCACCCTCTCGCTCACCTCTCTCTTCTCACATGACTAATCACAGCTTCTCTGTGGGGTTCAGAGCAATATCACAGGGAGGACACGACCGCTCCTCTCCAGAGGAAGTGAAACACACACCCTCGCACCCTACACAAGCCTGCTATTGTTCTGGCCCTTATTTCATCTGGTCCTATAATAATCACTGGGCCGTCGCGATATCTGACCCAATGAGCAGAGGCTGTTCCATTTGGGAACTTGCTCTCACATGGCATTATGCATAGTTATGTTTCAAGGAAATGGATTAGGCCTGGAAAGTTTAGTAATCCTCAACACTGAGTCAGTTAAATCCCCATGTATCATGATGGTTCAATCTCTTTAAACTCAAAACTCACACATTCATCATTCACATTCCTTACCTCTCCCATAGAAGTACTTGTGGTAGTAGTATGCGCCAAGGTCGATGTGCTCAATGATGTATCGTTTGACCTTCTCCCTGTGGATGGGCTGGTTTTCTCTTGGCACCTCTAGTACAGAGACTCCTGCATTGGTGCAGTGTGAACTTAAAGATGACTCAAAAGAGCAGCTCTCTGACAGACCACTGTAGTTGGCACTGTTGGCTCTGGAGAGGGAGATCCTCCTCTCGCCTTCACCACCGATCTCGTTGCGAAAGTGTGTACAGCTCAGCACTAAGCTGTTGCTCTTCCCGTCTCCCTCGTCAGCATCCAGGTTCTCCTTGGGGTTCAAGTCCTCCCTGCTGCCTAGTGGAGACTCAAACATGGGGGCATTTCCACTGCTACATCCTGCTGCTCCGCCATCTGTTCCTGCTCCAGGTCCGGCCCCGGCTCCCACAGCTCCGGACACTCCAACAGCTCCAGGTCCTATTCCAGCTGAGGCCGCTGAAGCCCCAGTAGTGGTGTTCTTCCTCTGGCATAGGTTAGCTCTGCTTGCCACCGCCTCGCTGATGTTGAAAAGAACGCTCTGAACGTCATAGTGCGCAAAGCATTTTTGGAAGCTGAGGGGTCGCCGGTCATCCTCTATTGAGAGTCGCAAGGCGTCACTCTCACTCTTAATGGTCCGCAGTTTCCTGAACAGAGACGTTTCAGATGGTTCCGATTTGAGACGCCTCATGAAAGACTTCTCCCGCTCCCGGCTGTAGAGGAGAGAGCTGTCTATGTAGTCGTAGCCTGGAATGTGGACTATCTCACCCCTGGCGATCTGGGCTGCTGTCTGCAGGCTAGGGGAGAGGGAGGCATCACAGCGCAACAACTCGGGGAAACCGAGAGGTGGTATGCTACGGTGGTCCAGGGTGTCTACTCTGTAGCCCCTAAGCATGGTAAAGAAGCCATCTCCACTCAGGCCCTGGCGGTCAATGGAGGACGTGCTACCGTATTCACGGTGCAGCGAGGCCCCAGTGTTTGGATTGACAGCGTTCTGGTCCATTATGTCCTCTGAGTCAATGTCACTAATGGTAACATCACTGTTACTGCGTTGACGGATAGGATGGAGACCCTTCAGCGGGGAATGGCTGAGGAGGTCACTCAGTGTGTATTTGTCAGAGTAGTCTACCTCCAGACAGACTGCTTCGCCTTGCTCCAGTATTTCCACAGTATGTTCCTGCTGGCCATTCTGAAATACCGGTATCACACTCTGATAGTTCGGTGAAGGACGTCCATCCCATCCATCTTTTCTCGGTGGCCATTCTGTCACCCTGGCCCTGACGCCCATTTTAGGCATGGCTGGAGTACCATTTGTTTTGCCAGCGCCTTCAGGTTTCCCTTGCATGTTGGAGGCTGGTGGTCCCATGCTACCATTCAGGGCTTTGAGTTTTCTGTTGAATAGCTCCTCTGACTGCATGGCTCTAGAGTATTCTTCTGGGCCTCCCACAATTCCCACAAGGTTTGATTTGTTATCCGTCACAGGGCTCAAAATACTCATATCCTGCTGGCAGACTCCTTGAAGAGCAGACTTTCAGGACCCTTCTTCATTACATCATGTGATTTGCTCAGTGGTGAGTGGAGGAGGAGCCTCTTTCCTGAGTCAACGAAGCAGCCGTCATCATAACTCACAGAAGGCGGCTGGCACGACGATCGACGCAAAGCATTTGGATGTCAAGGACAAGTGTCTGAGGAGCGCTGAGGCACAGCGGAGTGGAGTCTTTTCTCACAGCGTGCCACCAATGCAGAACGACAGCTGGAAGAGTTGGATCTGTGGCACAGGAACAAAAACACAGAAGAACATGTTAGCACACAGCAAGTGGGTTAGAACACTGTAACTGAGACATTTTAATTTAAAACACAGCGAAAACCAGTTTGTATTCCTCAAAATGACCCCAAAACACGGCACATTCAGTTCAACTATAAAAATGATCATACTGCTGACCTAAATTGTCTGTAGTACCCTGTTATCTTGTAACACACTCCCACCAAGGTGTATGGTGGGCTGTATTAGTTTTGGAACAATGTGGAGCATATCACCGAATACAGCTAATTAGTGTATTTGAGAAGAGCTGGTGCTACTATGGGTTTATAACAAGATAGATCTATATCTTTGTTGGTGCTTCCAGCCAATGCCTAACAGATGGTGGTGAAGCAAATTACAGCAACAAGAGGCAGATGTTTAGCTAAATGTTCACATGTACCAATATCTGATCCAACCGCTCGCAGCATCATCAGGCCTGCAAATTATACAGGAGGGATATTCTACGCCAGTGCCACTTTGCCTTTTTATCTGATGTAGTTGGTTAGGAGAAAAATTAATGAGGACCCGATGAGGTAAGTTGGATAAGACAAATATACAACAGAAACAAAATAATAGAAATTTCACTGAAATATGAGGTTGTAGTTCACTCCACTAACAGAACTTCAGAGGAGAAAGTTTGCAAGGTTACCCTTTCCACTTGCTCAGTTTTGTTCAACTGGGGAAATAACAAACAGACAAAAGGCTGATATCAGCAGTTTTATTCATTAACCTGAACATCTGAGGACAGAGAGAAGGAGAGTGAAAACATTGTCCTTGAAAAGCAGCTTCATTCCCTCTCGGGTATTTGAGATGTCAGATACGCACACGCTGCAAACTCACATGGTTTCCATTTTTATCCGTAAGCAATGTCCCTGTACATCAGCCTCGGGTAGACTTTTGTTAAATAGGCGCCAGGTTGGTCATATAGCCTCCTTGAACAGCGGAAAGCGATTTGACATGGACAATGTAATAAAGACACTAACAAACAAAGACTGTACTGTATACTGATGCTGAAAGCAAAACTCCAAGAGGAAGTGGGCAACACAAGCAGGTTCCTCTCTCATCGATCTCATCCCATGCTAGTAGGCGTGTAGAAGGTCCAGTGGGGTTAAGTGACTGAGGTGTTACACTGCATTCATCTCCTCAAACACTGACTTCTGCATGGAAGATCACACCACACCAGACTGAGAGTCTCCCTACATTGACCTAAATGCTTTTTCTTGTTCTTTGGGGCTGGTGGTGTTCCTCATTTCTCCTAGTAGTGCAATCATGTGAAAACCCCATGAGTTATCAAGTAAACCCTCAACATCACAAAAAACAGGGCACTGAATCACTAGTTTTTGTTTCAGTGAAGATTATAAGCCCTGTTAAAGCTATTCTCTTTGTAAGGTTTCACTGTCAACATGATAGATGAAGTTGGACTGGGCGTCCCAAGCTTTGCTTCAGCTCCATCCACTGGCCTTTAACATGATAGCGTCTGTTTCCAGACAACTGTTTACATTTCTCTATCATTTACTGTACAAACTATTTTGGGAGGAAAATGTGGGCCACATCAAGATTAGCTACATGTCAGACAAGACCAAATACACTGGAGATGAGTCTGAAACTATAATAATAAAGTGTGCACTCTCTGCCAGGGCCAAATACAGGTAAATGCATGCATGACCCAAATGTGTAGGAATAGATTCACAATAATACCTTCTTGGTTAAGTCTACTGCCAGCCAATCCCCAATCCTCTCTCTCCTGTTATGGACTGGTCTTGTTATGAACACAGCTTCATTCACAAGCAAGAAACTATAGTACCAACCTTTTTAACACAAGGCTTTTGAGAGTCACACAGCAAGACATTGTGTTGTGTCATGTGGATGCATAATGTAGCGACAAGAACTTTTCTGGGAAATATGTTTGTCCGTTACAGTTGGCGAATGATGAATAATGGAATATCTGCTGGGCTGCAGAGTAGTGAACAATGCCAACGCCACTCATTTTCAATACAGACAACGTCTGTGTCTGAACAAGACAAAGTGGTTGATTTTGGTCTGAAGCTTTTGACTTTATTATTCTAAATAAAACAATGAATTGTAAGTTACAAAAGTGGATTCTAACATTCAAAATTTGGTATGCCCATAAATGTTATATCTAATTTCCTAAATTGCTTGGATAATACACATGTATGCCACTGTGCTAGTGTAAGCAGCGACCAATGTAAGTGTGAAGTGTGTGTGAAGTGTTTGAGATGTGTAAGAAGTCTAAACGTGTAATAAATAAATCATAATTCACAGAAAAAGACACCATGTGAGATGTAAATGACTCTACATTTTACTGCTGGCCAATTATTTTACATTTCTCCACTCTATATATATCTCAGGTCTCTTTCCCAGGCATGATAGGGAGCAGAGGTGACAGTCTCCTGACCGACACCCACGTGTCACGCGTTGACTGAACAATTAGAGCTAATGACAGCAAAATGTGCCACCTGTACAAACAGCTTTATCAATGGTGACACTCCAACAGAGGCTTTAACGGATGACTGAGAAAAGGAAGAACAAAGAAACTGACATACTGTAATCTCAAATGCATGACAAGAAAACAGCATGAATGACTTTTCACAGTAGTCGGTGTTGAGCGGCTTAAAAAGATAGAGGAGTGTAATGCTGTCAACACAAGCCCTTTTTAAACAGGGATCATGCAATAGCACCGTAAAGAAGAGCAGTAAGTACGCCGGCTTTGCTTTTTTACACTGAACCAAACAACAACGGCACAATGCTGCCCCAGTTTGTGGTTTTAGATAGCATCCCGGTGCTCTGGAAGCAAAAGAGTGTAACACAACAGTGTCAGCAATTTACACAGACGTTGCTCTGTTACTTCCTACTCTGCCGGCGGAACAACGTCGAGTTTGTACGTTTTGCGAGGCGGAATAACGCTGCAACATTCCCGCCTTGAACATAAAGATATAAAATAAAATAAAACGATATCATCAGTGCAAAAAATCACATTGTTTAAAATCAATTCGCATTAAAAAGTCTCTCCATTGCTGTTATAGCATCCTAGCTTTGCCTCCAATTTCTTTCTCACTTGTAGTGAATTCTTAGTTAAAAAAGACTAAACTCTGTTTATGTTCATACTGTCCAGCTTCTCCCTGTTTGTGCTGCTACACAGGGTCAGGAAAGGGTGAACTGGCCTATATTTCACGTCGAGGGCAGGACAGGATAAACCAGAGAACATGGTGGTCTGTGTTTCCCTTTCCTGCCTTCTATTAGCTACTTTCCCTGCGACAGTGATTAATGAACACAGTTGTACCATGTCTCATTCCACATCCATCCCCCCCTGCACGGCCCAGCCAATAGAGAGTGCCACGAGCTACTTGGTCAGCAGAATCCATCTTCTGTGTGACCTGAAGGAGGCTGTTTTCTGTCCTTTCCTTTGTGGCTGTGTGTACAAGGGAGGTAGCAGATGGAGGGTGGGCGGTCTGCTTTACTAACAGCCCTTTATTACTGGAGTAATGCATCGCTATTATGGGTGTTTAAGACACAAGGCCTGGTGAACGGGGAAGGAGAGATGGGAGAGAAAGACAGGCCTAATTACAGTAATGAACTCATTTTGTGTCTCTGATGTTGGATAGTCTGTCTTTCATCTCGCTTCATCTACAGAGGAGTGGCCTAGCATTTCTTCCAGGTCTTAAAATAACCCTGACATTGTGGCCTGATTAAAGGCCCGGCAGATATTAATTCGCTGTCAGAAAAGTGAACACGTTCTGTCCACCATCTTGAGATTAATAGTCTACTACCACTGATGGGCCATTTCACCGCAGCAGGACACACGGCATGATGTCAGCCAACTCTGACAGACTAACTGGACTGACTGACTGACTTTCTCATTACTCACTTCTATGACTCCTACACAACTGTCACTGCGATCATGGAGAGGAAGCCCCTCCGAACAAACCTGTGGGCCATCTTTTTGTCTGGTTTTGTTTGCAGCTCTCTTGCAGTCCTCTGAATTACACAAATGTTTACAGCATAGGACACACTGGGTCGTGTGGCACATTAAGAAATACTTTGCTATGTGCACAACATTATTAAGATCACTCCACTTGGAGCTGACAGCACTTCAGGGAATTAGGCCCATACTGTATGCTCAAAAGGCACGGCCATGTCATAAGCCCTTAAGAATATTTTAGAATAAAGATGAATGCCAAATCATTTGCATGCCTGATTTGTTGGCAACAAGACCCATTTCTGGGTTGCAGTGATTTTCTGAAAAGCCAAACTTGTCATATGTCTTAGACTTAAGGTTACCTTTCAAAATATCACGTGCAGCACAAACTCGAGGAGTTGCTGTTGCAAAGGTTTAGTACTTTTTGTGTTAAATGTGCAAAATGTCACCTAGAAGTCACAATTACAGAAGCAAAATATCAATATTTGCATATGTTTGGCCATCACAGGCACAATTTAGCTGTATGTTTCTGTCAGTGCACCCATTCTGCATGATTACAGAACATCACAATAACAGAGCAGTGTGTTATTACATTATTCAGTGCACTCACAAAGCTGAAGCAAGAGCATCTTGTAGGTAAAAGAAAGGCACAGGGCCCTAAAATGAAGTAATTGTATTCAAGCCATGCTTTTCACTTCCTTGACTTTTTACATTCATCTAAACTGTGGCATCCTCAACATTGTCCAGCCTATTGCACCTCAGGTCAAAGTCAAACATGTTTATTTAGCCCCTACCAAGCTGCAAGGGCACGCTGAGCCCCGGGGTGAACCCAGACCTGTGATTATGGACAATTATCTTTAATACCCTGGCGTAATTGAGCCATATTAATGCTCCTCTATTCTCAGCAAGCAGGAAGTAGTAGCTGGCCTCGTCCCCAAGACGAATCCACCTCCAGAGCTGAGGGCGAGCTGTGATGCAGTCATCCTGTCCTCCCGCAGCCAAATTAGGGTGCAATGTAGGTTAGAGGCCA